AAAAAGTAGGTCACTGTATGGTTCTGGACCTCCGCGGGGAACCCTGAAGAGTGAAGCCAAGACTTACGCTTCATAACTACGCCAGTGGCTATGCTTCTAGATGCTGTGTCCGCTGCATACATAGTAGCTTATAAGGATATTTTTTCCCACTGGTTTGGCTTCCTCAATGAAGGATTGAAACTGAACTCTATCCTCAGGGGAAGCTTGTCTTTAAAGTCCAGCAGCCTGGAGTAACTGTTAAAATCGTATTTTGCTAATGAGGCCTGAAAGTTAGCAATATAGAATTGTAGGCTTGCAGAGGAAAAAAACCCCTCTTCCCAAAAGGTCCAACCTCTTTGAGCCCTCGTCAGCTGGGGTGGTCTTCTGATGTTGTGACCTTGGTCTCTTCATGATTGCTTATACCATCAAGGAGTTGGGCACTGGATGAGAGAAAAGAAATTTGGCTCACTTATCAAGGACAAAATATTGTCTCTCAGCACCTCTGGGTGTGGGTGTACAAAGAAACTAGGGTATGCCAGACCACTATGGCTGGCTCCCGGATGGCCTCAGTAACAGGGAGTACACAGGCTGCAACGTTGGAGTTAGAGGTCCTGGACCTCCTCCCATGGGATCTCAAGTTCACTGGCTATCCTCCACAGCAACTCCTAGTACTGTCTATGGAGCAGTGGTGGAGACAGTGAGAATAGAATAACTGCTTCATCCAGAAACAAGGATGAGATTCCAGTCAGTACTTGCAGATATGGATCAATATCCTCCACCTCATACTCTGACAGATGCCAAGCAGGTGAGCTGTGGCGTGACTCAAAGATGGATCCAGGGCAACTGCCATACAGGTCCCATGGGTGCCAGTAGGCTAAAGGAGGGGTTAATTGGCTCAGGGGGACCCTGTGGAAAGCATAATTGCAAGGAGGGAGTCTGGATCTCCTTGATTGTTTCAGGACTGTGACTAGCTGGAACATATGATTTGTCAGTCTGAAAATTGCTCTCTCCCTATTGGAGGGGCAGTCAGTACCAGAGGGCAGACATCTGCCCAAGGGCTGGAGAAGAGATGTCTTCTGTGTCATCAAATAGTTTCATCCTTTGCTGTGGAAATGGCCCTAGGGAGGATGGGCCAAGAAGAGAGGGGACTGAGAGTAAGGAAGGAAGATATCTTCCGGTGAAGTATAGATGTCCAGATGTCTCGGTGTTTGGGGCATTCTGATGAATGGGACCAATGGTTCCAATGTGTCCCAAGAGTTCACAGTTGGGTGATTCTTCAAAGGAAGTGCCTGGTTCTGCACAGAAGTCAGGTCCTGGACTGATATGGTATGTCTACACAGCAACTAGATATCGGCAGCTGGTTTTGCCAGCTAATTCGGGCTCGTGAGGCTCGGGCTCGTGAGGGTCCCAGAACCTGGGCTCCAGCAGTTTACATAGCAATGAAACAGCCCCATAGCCCGAGACTGAGTCAGTGGCATGGGCCAGCCACAGGTTTTTCTTTGCTATGTAGACATATCCTTAAAGCCAGTGGATGTCGATGCCTGAGGGTTTTCAGAGGTCCCAAGCTCTTACGATCCATGAGCAAAGGCTCACCCAACCTGGATGGGATCAGGAAGGGATGCCATCTTTTATGACAAGACTTGGACAGGGATCTGTCCTTGTGATCATGAGAGTGCAGCCTGCTCTCCAGGGAAGCCATTAAATGAGGAGTCCTTGGGCTTAGCAGCAGTAGCCTCCACTCCCAAGCTTGTGCTTGGAGCGGTGCTGCTTAACTGATTAGGGATATGGAACTTCCATATGAGGAGAGATTAATAAGACTGGGACTCTTCAGCTTGGAAAAGACATGACTAAGGGGGGATATGATAGAGGTCTATAAAATCATGACTGGTATGGAGAAAGTAAATAAGGAAGTGTTATTTACTCCTTCTCATAACACAAGAACTAGGGGTCACCAAACGAAATTAATAGGCAGCAGGTTTAAAACCAACAAGAAGTATTTTCCCACACAATGCACAGTCAATCTGTGGGACTCTCTGCCAGGGGATGTTGTGAAGGCCAAGACTATAACAGGGTTAAAAAAAGAACTAGATAAATTCATGGAGGATAGGTTCATCAATGGCTATTAGTCAGGATGGGCAGCGATGGTGTCCCTAGCCTCTGTTTGCCAGAAGCTGGGAATGGGCAACAAAGGATGGATCACTTGATGATTACCCGTTCTGTTCATTCCCTTTGAAGCACCTGGCATTGGCCACTGTTGGAAGACAGGATACTGGGCTAGATGGACCATTGGTCTGACCCAGTATGGCCGTTCTTATGTTCTCGGGACTCTGGGCATTGTCCCCTGTATGGGGAAAGAACTATACCATAAAAGCTAACAAGACTCAGTAAAACTATTTACAACATCTATTTAACACATTATAGACAGAAATCTGGGGAAATCTGTGAACAGAGATTCTGACTCAGGCCATGCAGCGTAAGAAGAAACTGGAGAGGCATAAGTCCCCCACTCCTCTTCTGCCCTTGGTCTGGAGCACAAGAAGAACTACTGCGTAAGTGTGGGCCAAGGGACACTGCTTGTTAGAATTTCCAGACTTGGACCCATCATGTGCATGCAAACCCACATCTGTAATACACATAGGTGCCAGCACTTGAAAAAGAACCCGGACCTCAATCAACTCATCAGTTGCACAAGTACATCTGACAGGAAACTGGGGACCTATGACTCAGACTAGTAGGGGAGACATTATTGTGTGAACTGGTGCTTATGTTAAGTGTGATAGAAAATTTTGCTTGGAGAGCTAAATCTGAATTAAACAGTAGGGCTGTAGGGGTTTCCTTTTTTATTATTATTCTACATCTTTAAGGAAAGTTCCTAGACTATAAAGAAGGGGGAGTTACTTACAATAGATTTTCTTTGAAAATATACATTTTAATGGATTAACAAGCCTTGGAGGAACTCCCATAGGTGTACATTTAAGCAGCTGCACTCAACAAGGAGCAACTAACAATGTCTCCATGAGATGTTCATGTTGTCACACATTCCTTTCAAATGGGAAGTGAAAATACTCCCAAAGTAGCCAATTTGTTGAATAACGTTTAGAAAAACCTCAAGTCCGTTGAGAGGGTGGGACAGGTGAATGGTAAGCAAGAACGTGCTTCTCTAAAGAATATTTAGAAATGGGAATTTATAAACCTACTCTTAAAATACTAATAATGCATGCCCCGTCACAAATCTAAAAAACTAAGATATTATTAAAATGAAAATTTAACAGTTTGCAAAAGATAGAAAGAAACAAACAGGATGAATATTACTTAAACTGTACGATTTGGATACTTTCAAATATATGGAGAAATAAGATACCTCTGAAAAATGCTGAGAGAGCAAGAGAGATACACCGAGAAATAAAATTTTAGGAGGCAGGACAGGTTTGAGCAACTAACACAGAAAAATATTCTGTAACTCTGTTGAGCCAAATTTGGTTTCTTGTCTGAAGGATGAATCAAAGCAACAATATCTTGGTAAAAGTGTGCAAAGACCATGTGGAAGTTTAGCAAATCTCATTAACGGACATTGGTTAGAAAGCTAGCTACTCCAACTGACTTGGAATGACATTCACGGTCTAGGTAAATACATTAAACTGTGAGAAAGGTAGTCAGCCAGTTATTTAGACACGACTCTCCATGAAGAAAGCGAAATCTGAGTCAATATCAAATGAAACAGAAAACTGTGTGTACTTTCGAATAGCTTCAACAGACCCCAGAGAAAAGCCTAGGAACCTTTTCAAATTACATTTATGGAAAAAAACTTCACAACGGGCAAGAGGGTTAAGTGAAAAATATTGGCAGGATAACTGATTGTTCATAGTAGGACAGTCCCTACATTTGGAAAGTATTTAGGAATTAGTAGCTCCCCTCTTATTTGAAGAATATAATGTAAGATTAATTATCTTTTAGACAACCTCATTATCTTGATTTGATGCTATTACTACCCAGTGACTGTTTTTTTTGTTTTTTTTTTTTAAATGGGAAGTGGACTGTTTTAAATCCAGTAAGTATTTCAATAACCCTAGGACAAGTTATAGGAAAGAATCTTGCCTATATTCAGAAAGTTCATGAAATTGAACTTTAAGAAAAGTTGTTTTTCATTCACACTGTCAATAAGTAAGGCAGTCAAAGCAGTTTTTTGTAGATCACTTTCTATTTGCAATTATATGTCCTCCTGGTTACACCCCTTTTTAGGGTGACCAGACGTCCCGATTTTATCGGGACTGTCCCGATATTTACTTGTTTGTCCCGTGTACTGACCGATGTTCGGTCCGGATGCGAATTGTCCCGATATTTTGCCCTCCAGCGCACAGGCAGAGGGGGCTCGCGCCCACCCCGCCCCGACTCCGCTCCCTCCCTCCCCCATTGGATCCCTCTCCAAATTCCCGCCCTTGCCCCGCCCCAGCCCCTCCCCCTCACTGCCCCATTGGATCCCTCCCCAAATCCCCGCCCTGGACCCGCCTCTTCCCCAAGCACGCCGCATTCCTCCTCCTCACCCCTCCCTCCCAGGCTTGCACTAATCAGCTGTATGGCGGCGCAAGCACTGGAGGGAGGGGAGAGAAGCAGGACGCGGCCCCCAGCTCAGGGGAGGTGGAGGCGGAGCGAAGGTGAGCTGGTTCAGCTCTCTAAAACATATTCTTTATCTTTTAATCAAATAGACGCAAAATGTAATGTCTACATTCCCAACGAAAAATAAAAGTAAATGTGTTGGTCTGGGAGGGGGAAGGCTTTCACTTTTCCATTTGATATCTCAGTCTCCCTACAATATCTGAACTGGGGTTTTGTTTTGTTTTTTGGTTGCTCTTTTCACTCTGTTACCTTTCTTTTTGTTGAAGATAATAAATGCAGCACTACATGTTAGAGAGTCTAACAACACAGATTATTTGGCATACTTTCAAAATATGTTCAAAATGCATACCAAAACAAAACTAACAAGACAGTAAGCCTCTTTACAGAAAGTAAATAAAATGATTTACCTAGCAGCACAATCATACGCCAAGACATCAGTTTCAGCAAGAAGGTCCCCATCAGTCTCATGATCTCCCCCATCTGGACCCAATTCAAACAACTGCAAAAATAAAGTAAAATATTTCTCCATCTTTACAAATTTCATTCTACCATTCTCATTTGCTTGTCATTCTTTCTTGCCTCTCTCTATAGGAACACTATTGAACAGTGTACTACTATTAGTAAATATAAAAAAGAACAGGTATTTATTTTACAGGAACTGTAGTTCTTGGAGTATGCATCTGTGTGGATCCCACTCTAGGTGACTGGCAATCAGTTTCTCATCTAGAAAGTGGTATTGAGGAGTCTTATCTGCAAATAACTAATGACTGTAACACTGCCTTTCCAAACCTGGCTTCTAAGCTTGCTGTCAAAAAAAGATGGGAGGCCATGTAAAGGACTTTGTCCTATTTAGTGAATATAACAAGGGCCTAGAAACATCTAAAGTATGGCCTTTTTTCTCTCCTGGACAAAAATGGGATTTTGGAAAGAAATTTTTAGACTAATTGCTTGATTTAAATTGAAATGTGAAACAACTTTGGGAATAAACTTAGAATGAGGTCTTAACTCCACCTTTTTGATGAAACAATACGATTAGCCATGAAGGCTTGGAGTTCACTGACACATCTGGCTGTTGTGATACCCACCAAAAAGGCCATTTGGAGAGTAAACTGGTTAAGAGAACATTCAGAGGGGGTTCAAATTCAGCTGCCTGAGACCTGCAAGGACAATGTTGAGATCCCAAGAGGGAGGGGGCTCCCTAACTGGTGGGTTAAGTGTGATTCAACCCTTCTAAAAATCTAGAAACAGAAAGGTGGGAGAATACAAAGCATGACTGAACCAGAATGTGGCATACTGAGATTGCTGCAAGGTGAACTTTGATTGAACTAATGGAGAGGCCAGAGAGTTTCAGTTGCAGAAGGTAGTCAAGGATCTTGAGGAAAGGGGCCTTCAAAAGGTCACGGTCATCCTGGGTTGTCCAGATAGTTCTCCTCAAAGTGAAAAGAGATTTGCTAAGAGGATTTCTTATACCTGGAATGAACAGTCTCTTTAGTAGCCCTTAGCCAGCCAACATCCAGGCTATTACGTGCAGTGATTGTACATCCAGACCCAATCTGTCCCCAGCTCTGTGATGTTGTTTGGACAGTCCTGAAGTGATACAAGGCCAGAGAGCTGACATATGGAGAAAATCTGTTAGCTTCTCATTGACAGAGACAATTCTGGCTATCAGGATCAATGTAGGTGCATTCTGTCTGATTTTCCCCATAACCCAGGGTGCCAAGGGCATCGACAGAAACGTATATAAGACCTCAACAGCATGGTATGAGAAATTCATCTTGAATGGATCTTAGGCTCAGGCACCCACAGAGCCACAGGCAAAACTTTGCATTCTCTCTGATGGCAAATAATTCTGTGAGGATATTCTCCACTGCTGAAACATCAGTGAGAGGACATAGCTCTTCAGAGATCATTTATGATTGGTGACACATTGACTGATGAGAAAGACTGCTAACTTGTTGGTCCCTGGAAGACCACCAATTGGGGTTATCCCATTAAAGTGACACCATGTTCATTTTCTGGTTGCCTCTTAGTGATGAATGGGCAGCCCTCTGCCTGTTTACATAATACATTGCAGATGTGTTGTATATAAGGATCTGTGTGACAGAATACTTTAAAGCTAGAGGAATGCTTTGCAGGCCAACCTAATTGCCTTAAGTTCCAGGACGTTTATATGGAGTCTCACGTCCTTTTTGGACCATATTTCATGCATTTAAAAGTGGTGTAGGGTGACTCCCCAACTTGTTCCTGGAGCAACTGTGACAGGTGTCTTTATAGATGGATGTGTAGAGAACATCCTGGGCATACATCCACCAGTTTAGTAATAAAAAGCTATAAGCTGGGACTACAACATGTGCATGCACTTGATGTTTTTTAAGTTGATACACAAAGCTCAGACAGTCCCACAACGGATGTAAGTGATGTCTGAATAGTAGTGTCACATAAGTGAAAATCTACACATTGGCTAAAAGTTTGAGACAGGTTTGTACTGGGGTTGATTGGACAGAATGGAATTTCTCTTACGGAAGATGTGTATTTGCCAATTTGGAGGTGATTAAAGCTCCTATGAATTCTACTGTCTGTGATGGTTGGAGTGACAATTTGTTGTAGTTTATCAGGCCCAGCTCTTTGAACAGATTGAGGATGGTGTTCAAGGCTGCAGTGATATCTTGCTGCTTCTGATCAGCCAATCATCTAGATATAACTCGACACAAATGCTTTGTTTTCTTAGGATATCAGCTACTGCAGCTAGACATTTAATACTCTCTGTGCTCTGGCTAGATCAAGTGGCTGTACTTTGTATTGATAATGATTGGGCCCTACTGTGAATCACATATACTTCCTATGGGTCAGATAGATTGAAATGTGGAAATATGCTTCTTGGAGGTTCAAAGCTATGAACCAGTATTGTGCCAGTAGAGAAGGGATGATGAAAGGTAGCACTGCCATCCTGAATCTGAGATAGAATATATATTTGTTCAGTCTTCTGAGGTTGAAGATACGATGAAGACCCCCTTTCTTCTTCACAATAAGGAAATAAGGGTACCTGAATTCCATAGTTACCTCCTCAATAGCTCTTGGGCAAAGCAAGGAGGCCACTTCTTTCAGCTGACTCTTGTGGGAAGAGTTCCTGAAGAGGATGGGGTTGAGATAGGGTCTGGAACTGCATCACGTACCCACATAAGAGGACTTCTAGTACCCATTTGTTGGCTCAGGTGTTACTCTTGACCTTCAGGTCAAACCCGCTGTCCCAAAGATGTTGTGGGGTGGATGGTGACTGTGGCAGAAGGTGATTTTCTTCAAGGCTCTGGGTTTATTCCTCAGAGAACCATCATCTCCCATAATATGCTCTTGCTGAGAGTGGGAGGGTGCTGGTCTGAGGTTGGTACCTGGAGGGCACCCATCTTGAGGTCAGGGTAAAAAAGCCTAGTGATCCAAAAGTAGCCCTAGAATCTTCTAATAATTGTATTACTTCAAAAGTCAGGTTACTAAACAAGTCAGTTCCCTCAAAGGGTAAATCTTCTATGGTATGTGTACCTCTTCTGGGATACCTGAAGCCTTCCTCACTCTACCAGCTATGGCCACAGACCAATCTGGAGTATCAGAACCATCCATAGCTGCTCATATAGAGGTCTTTATCACTTGCCACCCTTCAGAGATTATAGTCTTTAATTCGTCTCTGGAGGAAGCTTGTTCACGAAGGGAGATACGTTGTCCTCTGTCAAAAAATTATATTTCATGTACTACACTTAGTAATTCACTGTGTATAACACTCAATTTGCTGAGCCTAGTTGGAGTAAAGTGGAGAAGCAAGCTTTCCTCCCAAAGATATCCAACTTTTGGGGGGTCTTTAGTTCTGGAAGTAGTCTCTAATGAGCCAAACTGTCTAGCTTTCTCCTGAACTGCAGAGACCACCAAAGATCTAAGGACTGGATGTGTGCAGAACTGTAAAGCCTTTCTGTAACACTTACTATCTCTTTCCCACTTGGTTGCTAGTTGGGGAGAAGGTAGCAAGAGTCCTCCAGCGAGCTTTAGCTGGCTCTAAAATGCCTTCATTTTTAAGTTTCGCTTCCACCAAGAACAGAGGATACCAAATAATTTAGGGGCTGTCTCCTTGATCATTGAGGTCTCAATCTCAATAGCATACGCAATTTTTGAGAAAGCAACTCCTGAAAGACTCTGAAATCATCCAGGGCTGGTAAAGGGGCAGAAAAAACTATATAATTAGGAAGGATAATGATCTTTGGGAGAAGTTGAAGGTTACTGGTCTGGAGGCTGGGAACCTGACTCTTCTTCATCCATCTGTTCATCACTAGCCAAAAAGTTTCTGAAGGAGGTCTTGAAACTGAGGCCACAGGAGAATAAAACCACCTACATTTTCATGATGATCAGGAAGGAGACCCACTTCTGGAGGGTGGGCCCCAGAAAGCCCATTATGGCCCAACTGGGAAGTCGCATGGTTCACTTTGACCAGATTGGGCCACTGCCATCCACGTGATGGATAAGATGGGGCCCTGAAATGAGTGTTCTAGTCTGGAACCATCTCCTGATCTTAGTGAGTGGGGAAGTGAAGATTGCTGTTGGGATAGGGGAGGGGGTGTTGATGTGGTGCAATTAGGAGAGTGACCAGAGTAGAAGATCTCCTCTATTGGTGGTGCTGATCTCTGAGGTGATGTCAGTATGGGGAGCTGAGATCTTTAAGTTGGTGCCAGATGAAGTGCCCTTGGTAGAGAGGGTGATACTGGAGAGAAAGTAGCTTCCATCAGTAATAAATCAGGGGGGAATATTAGTGCCTTAATTGCCAATGCCAGCTCTGATGTCAGTACTGAGATTTTCAGCACTGAGGCATCTATCCTAGTCCCAGTTACTGGTGTAGCCTTGAGACCCTTTGATGCAGAGTCAGAGATTCAACAGTGTCACTTGCCCCTATAGTATGAAAGGGCATTGTGCTCAGTAGAGCTAAGAGAAATATTTTTGAAAATTCGTTTATTTGCTGGGAAATACAGTTTTTGTGGACTCTAAACTATTCAAGAATTTGACCCAAAATTGACCCAAATAGTTTTGGCCCAAACTTTTTTGGGGTGGTGGAAGGGGTAGATTCACAAGGGCACTATTCACAAAATGGCTGGAGGAATCATAGAATATCAGGGTTAGAAGGGACCTCAGGAGGTCATCTAGTTCAACCCCCTGCTCAAAGCAGGACCAATCCCCAGACAGATTTTTACCCCAGTTCCCTCAATGGCCCCCCCCCAAGGATTGAACTCACAACCCTGGGTTTAGCAGGCCAATGCTCAAACCACTGAGCTATCCCTCCCCCCAGGAGCCTCCTTTATAACCTTTACCCCAATGATTAGGGAAGTCACCTAGATTGGAGGTTCAAGTCCCTGAACCATGAAAGGGAAGGGGGGAGGGGACTTGAACCTGGGTCTCCCACATCCCAGGTGAGTGCTCTAACCCCGGGGCTAAAGGTTATAAGGAAGGCAAGCAGCAACACCACCACCACCTTCTCCTCCAGCCATTTTGAGAATCTAGCCCTTAATTTTCCTTTGCCTTTATTTTAAAAATGCCCAGAAACTAAACGTTTCATTTCAGGACAAATCAAATTTAGTTTTTTGTTGGCTTAAATTTGCTGAAATTTTTCAGAATTTTTGGTTTCAGTTCAACCTGAACTACAATCCCCCCCAGAATTGCCTGTGAACCAAAATAAATAAATAAAATCAGTTAGTCACACAGCTCTAGTGCTCTTTTCTTGGGAAGAGAGCAAAGAGAGAGAGGCTCTTAGGCCTCAACTTTTCCTTTCTTTGGGGAAGGCCACTGCTGGGAACCCTGGTTAGTCTGGTGCTCTGATACCTTTCGATAGTATGGTTCCAGTCTTCAATGACAGAGCAGCCATTAGTACTGAGGTGGTCCTTGGCTGCCGTTACTTATAGCTTGTGGGTGCTGGGACAGATTTTTTTTTTTTTTTTTTTTTTTTTTTTACCAGTACCAGTCTTGGGAGTCACACCGAAGCTGACAGACTGGCATACAGAGGTTGATGCCAGTTCTTTTGGATGTGAACTTCCTCCCAAACAGCTCCAGAAGATGTAATTTCAGCCAAGTATCCCTGAATTTTAATGTGCTTGAGGAGAATGATGGGCAGATGGAGCATCAGTCGGGCACATGGCTCTTACTGACAAAACAAACAATGGCTATGATCGTCTGTGAATCAGTCGTAAGACAAGCACAGGGTTTAAAGCACAAAGGGTTTGAATCCACCACTGAAGAGGTTTTGGCACAAAGCAAAAAATTAATTTGTTTTCCTTCTTCTTAAGGGGATTGAATTTAAGGAAAGCTTTTAAAAGAAAAAGCAATAAAGGGGGAATTTACAGGAAAATAAAGCTATAGAAAATGTGCTAGGAAGTAGCAGGCAGACAGAGTTTGGGCCTGCCTCACTGCCATGCACAGTAAGAGGGAACTGAGAGCTGCTGGCAGGTGCTCTGCCCATTATGCCATCAGGTGAGGAGGCTCAGAGGCATGCAGGGCACAGGTGCAACCCAAAAAACACTGCTGTTCAAAGATTCTGATCTCACATGTATGAGGCATATGCACACCTAGAGAGTGATCCACAGAGACAAATGAAGAATCTTAGCTCTTACTGATCACTTATAGTTCTGATTCTCTGCACCAATCCTAGTCATATGGCAATCCAATCTGTTTATATGGGCACAGTTTCATTTTCCCCTCTAGAAATGTTATTAATGATCAGAGCCTGTAAATTTCCTTAAATACAGCCTCTTAATAATCCCACTTGTTTGAAAGATGAAGAAGAGATCTCAGGCAGCATAACTAAGTAACTGATGGCATCTGAATGACATACTGTGAACCAGAAAAAACAGGTTTTAAGTAAATTAGATAATCTAATTTGTTCCTTTCCTTTCAACATCCTCTGAGGCATTTCTGAAATCCCTATGAACAACAGGAATTAATAATTCACCAGTATAAAAAAAATCAGTGAATGACAAAAAAAAAATCGTATTTATGGTAACATTCATTAACTCAGAAAAGTATGACCATCTTGAAATCTGGATTGTATGAAGTTACATTTGAGTAAACCCATAATAGAGAGTAATATTTTGAGGAACTCAATGAAGACCTAGAAAGTGGATAAAAATGGTTTGCGCCTTTTTGCTTCTGTATAATGAGTAAGTTCTTTTAAACAGGTTTTTTTCCTGTTTTTTTCCCCCTTAAAAATATCAAGTCTTTTCTTCATGATACATTAATTGAAATCAGCAATTTCAATACTGACATCAATGGGGCTACTCAGTGCATAAAGGTAGTCACAAGCATGTTTCTAGGATCGGGGCTTAAGATCGTAATCTCTTTCCGGCACAGATGGTATCGTCTGTGTGTGTTTGCATAGGGCCAGATCAACTTGTAGGTCAATGAAAACATTTTGAAGACACTGAGTTCTTCTGTCATGACTAGGAAAGAAGACGGGACTTTTTGGACGTTATCACATTATCTTTCTGGAAGCTTACTACTGCAGCTTTGATAAGGGATGGATGGGTTCCAGAAAATTCTGGAAAGCTTTTTGGAGAACCTATGTCGTCTTATTTTCACATAATCAAAAAAATCAGGAAGAATTATCATTAAAAAAAATCACTTGATTTTACTGCACAATTTAGCAAATGAATGGCAATTATTAAATGCATTATTTTAATCGAGCGTTGCCCTCAATTGCCTTCTTTTGGAATAGCCTAGTACTCAACAGAATTTTGTTTATAGTTTTTAGCATGTTTTAGTTAGATGGCAACCTGTATAACCAAGCCTATTATTTAGGTTTTAAGGTTTGAGGAGCCTGATGGCAGTATTTTCAATAACACTGCACTGAGTTTTGGGGGACAAGGGGGGAAGAGAACAATATAAGGGTCACTCATCCCCAGCTACAAGTATGACAGCATGCTCTTATTCAACATTAAAGTTTCTAGTAGCCCAAGCTGTAATGTCTAAGAAAAGAGTATCACCAAAATGTCACCTCTTCAAAAATACTATCTGAATTCTTCTTTCATACTGAATAATACAAAAATCACTTCAATGAACAAAGTTTCTAATCACTTCACCCACCATAAATGAAGAGCTCCAAAAGTTAACAGAAATGCTACTTAGAAATTTAGGACAAGTGGTAAAGCATTTAATTTAAAGTTGGCCAGGACCTTAGTGCCAATACCCCTGTTCTTGAAAAAGTTGCATAGGATTTTAAAGATGAGTGTCGAACTCTCAGTTTTATATCTCCCCCATACTACCATCATCATGGGGCACTGAATCAATATTGCCTCAGTGAGGAGCCTGATTCATATTCTTCTGTGGGTTTTTTTTGTTTACTTTTTGATGGACAGCTTTTACAATTGTACAGCATGGCTCCTTCCACCCCATTAGTATAATCATTAAAAAACCTTATCAATTCTAAATTACATTTCTAAACCTGTGATCTTAAAACAGTATGTTTTGAAAGAGATCATCTCTTACCTTTATTTTAGCAGTGTATTCACCCCTACCTCCAAAAAGGCCAAGACCACCAAGTAAAATGTCAGTATCGGCATAGAAGCGGATAGCTTCCACTGAATGGGCTGAATAACCCCAACCTCCTCCATGACCTACAAGGAACAAATAATTACAGATCTATATAGAACCAGATTTGTGTAATGAAAGTCTGTTTGTGCAGCAAGATTATACTGAGTACATACTTTCAAATCTGTTAACCACACTATAATCTTCCTTGGAATAAACTTTCATTACTGCTTGAGTCTCCTCCTCTGTATTTGCTACACCCATTTTTAAGTCCTGCATAGCGGCTAATGTATCAAGACAACCTGAAAGAAAATAAAAAGAAATATTCAATTTCTGTAACTGGAAACCACAATTGGTGGAACTCTGATGACAAGCTGAATGCTCCTAAAGAAAAAAAGGTATCAGCAGCACTACCATCTTTCCCCTCACCTACATAAACATACTGTAGCAGAAGAATAGTACTTTGCCTCCAATTACGCTCAAAAAAGTCACTGTGGTAAAATATATAGCCTTACCACTAAAGACAAATCTTTTTACTAAGAATTTGCTCTCAATAAACTAAGAAATATTTGACTAAACGTGTTATGTGGACAATGGCATACAACCTCTCAACAACAGCCTTACATAAACATTCCTCCTTTGGTGTCAGGTATGCTTTTACATACATAAGTGAAATGAAGAGCTAAAGCAGAAGTTTCTCACCTGACTATCAGTCTCTACATATTCTTATCAAATGGGTCAAGACTCAACAGTAAGATCAGGATGGAGAAACTACATGTAGAAAACTGAGATTAGCGGTAAGAACAGGCATCCTAGCTGAAGTTAAAGTATAGCTCTATGCACTTTTTAATCCATTTGAGAGAGTCTTTGCTTAGAAATAGAGCTGGTCAGAATTTTTCTGGCAAAATTAGGTTCTGTAGGAACATGCTGATGTGCTAAAGTGAAATATTACAGGGTCAACAGCTCCATGGCTGGAGTCTTGTCTCTGGGGGCTGTCAAGTTCCTTGCTCCATGGCAGACAGCCTCCCACCTCTCCACACAGGTCTCTCAGGTGTAAAATGTCCATTTTTGTCTATAACGCTTCAAGGTAGATGCCTTCATTGAGTGAAGGAGAATTATCAGCACTCTGTACGAATGAAAGAGTCTATACAGATTAGGAAATTATCCTCCAAATGGTTAGATTTAAATTCTGCAACTGACCTCCATTTTACTGGGAAAGAGGAAGCAGGTAAGGGGTTTCTCCTTGGACAACTCTAGGAGTTCTAAATAGTGTTGTTGATGTGGCCATGTGGCAAACTGAAAATATTTTCCCTCTCAATCTGGTGCAATATAAAGGAGTCGGTTATTCTCTTGCCACAAAGAGGTCTATCTTTGCATGGCCAAACAGTGAAAGCTGTCACTACATATCTAGTTTTAGAAACCACTTCTACTGGTCTTGTATTCTTCTACTTCACAAAGAAACAAAATGTATGTAGAAGTATAAATCCTTCAAATTTAGAGCTGCAAACCAGTCATCTTACAGCAATGAAGGAATGGAGATCCCCTAAAGTGGTCATCCTGAACTTCAAGTTCTTGATTATCTTATTTGTTCCTCAGGTATAGACTGGGTCTCGGACTTTCTACTTGGTGATGAGAAAACATCAGGTGTAAAATCCCTGTTCTTGGTGTTCTAGTAGGACTTATTCTATTGTACCTTTGACAGGAGCAAGTCAAATTCTTCCAGGAGGACCTTCTCATAAGAAGTGTTTCTGAAGAGGGATGAGAGGAGAGTTGTAAATAGGCCTGGTGCCAAACTGGATGGAATGTGTGTCAAGGACAGTCTCCCAGATGCAGCAACTGGAAATAATCACACATCAGGAGGTATAAAAGAAGGATAAATGAGGATTGAAAGGAGGGAACAGAATGGAATTAGATGGGGAAAATAAATGAATGTGTCTATTGGGTGCAGCATCAAATCCACTTCTTACAAACAGATGAAGTGGTCTGGATTGAGGATTGTTGAGGATGCTTGCTCCTTTATTGCTGCTAAGGCCTCTTCTGATAGGTGGGTCTTGAAAGGGATTGGAATCTTCTCTGTGAAGAGAATCACTGCCAAATTAAGACTGTCCCATGTGTGGAACATGAAATTGGGTAAGGATAGTAGGGGTCCCTGAAAAAGGTCAAGGGCTAAGAAAGACAACAAGATCTAGCAGTAACGCTAGTGGACTTCATTTTCTCTAGAACCTTGTTAGCTGCACCACTGAAGAGGTCCTGGTCTACAGATAAGGCCTCAATTCTCCCTTAGACTTCTAAAGTACACCCTGAGGAACAGAGCCACTAGTGCCTCTTCAAAGCACTTCTGTAGCCACAGAACTGATGTTTATGTTAGACACATCACAGGCCATTTTAAGGGCATGCTTGGCTATAATGCAATCCTCACTCACAAAGAATTAGCTGCCTGTTTTCTCAAGTCTGAGGCTTAATCCAGGATAGGGTTTCAAGGCATTTCCCAGACCACATTAGGAATACCTTGCCATTATAGCCTGGCAACTTTCCACCCTCATATCTAGGGAGCCTGAAAAATAAAACCTGCATCAAAAATCATCCAAGTCTTCTGCCTTCCCTATCTTCGGGTGCTGAATAAAGAGATCTGGGCCCTTTTAATCCATCCTGGGCTGCAGATACCACAAGGGAATTGGGGACAGGGGGTTACCCCAAAAAAGAAATTCCTCAAAGAGAATGGGGATACATACAGTGTGTTCTACTACAGACCTGTGAGGTGGAAGTCGGATTCAACCACAACTTATGGCTAATGGGGATCGTGGTTTTTTCCCCTTCTGCCTCGGTCTGTAAGATGCCAATAAGAGAGCTGTTGACTCCACTGTAAAAGTACCTTTTTTTCCTCCAGATTTAGGCTCTTCATGTGAAGATGGCAAACTGTCTGAAAACATCAGGTGATGACATGACAGTAAATCCTATGTTTTCATCATGTGACATGGCATGGCATGACCAAGACATGGAGACACAGTGTCCTGGATACTGGAAGAAGAGAGAGCTCCTCTGACATCAGTGCCAACTCTTCCTGCACAGACTGATTTGGCAGCACTGGCTCCCAAATTGGGATGCTTGGTGTAGAAAAGTGGGTAGGTGCTTTTTTTTTATTATTATTATTATTTTATTATACACACACACACACACACACACACACACACACACACACACACACACACACACACATTCTCTCATGCCAGAATGTTTCCTCTTCTCCTTATTTTTGGAAGAAATTTTGTGGAGGTAGAAGTCAGCGCTAAGAAGTAGGGTTGGTACTGGCACAAAAGCAGAGTGTGTACCTTTTCTGGGTGGTTCTGATACCAAGGCAGGAGCTGGTGCCAGAATAGCTAGAGCCATCAACGTTGCCATTGGTGCCAGCATCAGGTTATGGGGGCTTCTCTTGGGTATGGTACTGCTGAAGCGTGCTGACATGAGATAGTGCTTCTGGCAGCAGGCAATGAAACTAAACCCAGATCCTGCAGCCAACTCTGGTACCATCAAGTGCCTCATAGGCACAGAAGGCAAGGACCTCAGCAAAAAAATAGGGATGCCCTGGGTATGCACAAGACTCTGTTCTGAGGGCAGATATCTTGGCTTCAGTGTCTCAGAGGACTTATAAGCCTGTAGCCTCAAGTCCCTGCAGGTAATTGGCTTGGCAGCCGCACTGCTGAGAAGGATCTGGGAAATGTGATGGATCGCAACCTCAGCATGAGTCAACAATGCGATGCTGTTGCAAAAAAAAAAAAAAGCAAATGCAATTTTGGGTTGCATTAACAGAGGCATGGCATGCAAGTCACAGGAGGTGATAGTACAGCTCTACTCAGTGCTGATTAGGCCTCAGCTGGAGTAGTGTGTCCAATTTTGGTCACAGCTGTATAGAAAAGATGTAGAGAAATTGGAAAGGATCTAGAGGTGAGCAACGAAGATGATCAAAGAGATGGAATGCAAGCCATATGAGCAAAGGCTGAAGGAACCAGGTATGGTTAGTTTGGAAAAGAGGAGATTAAAGAGGGACAGTATGCCCCAAGCCCTGCCAGAGGGCAGAAGCCATGAGCTCCCCTCCCCGCCAGTCTGTTACACGGAGAAAGGGGCGGGGACAGTGAGCCCCGGGAGCTGCACTTTAACTGTAAAAGAGCTGTACGTGGCTTGCGAGCTGCAGTTTGGCCACCCCGTCATACAGTCTGACCTGCATAACACAAATCACAGAATTTCACCCAGTAATTCCAGCATCATGCTCATATCTTGTGGTTGAGGTGAAGAATATTTGTAGAAAGGCATCTGATCTTCATATGAAAGTTTCCAGTGATAGAGAACCAAAAGATCTTGGTAAGTTGTTCAAATGGTGATCCTCATGGTTAAAAATGGTTACCCTCACTTTATTTTCAGTTTGCACTTGTTTAGGGGGTGTGTGTGTGTGTGAGTGTGTGTGTGAGAGTGAGAGCGCGCGCTCATTCTTCCTCTGGAATCTGCTATACCATCCTACAGAGGGTAACTTTTACCCTGGGATCTTAAAGGTATTTCTGAAGAGCAATTTGGGGGAGGGGGGAAATTCCTGTCTTTGGGAGGTTGCAACAAAACATTTATTCTGTATTTTGTAGATTGTTCAAAAAACATTTCCAAGGCCATTTTGCATTTGCTACTCTAACCATTTAAGTAGTTCACCCACAGCCTAAACCCTAATAACATCGGCAGTAAGACTGAAAAGGGGGACAAACCCATTTGATTTGATTACCATTAATAAATATGTTTGGCAAAAGGCCACAAATGTTGGAAAAAAAGGAATCAAATTCAAAAACTTGGAAAGCCACCAGACTAAGTAACAGTTTCTTAAATTGAGTTCTTCTATCCATAATTCTGTCTTCATAATAGTACTAAGGCATGAAAGATAAATAAATAAGAGTGTTTTCCAACAGCCTGAAGGCGATAACTGAAGGGAAGGTTACTTGCCCTGTGCAGTAAATGCAGTTCGAGATGTGTGTGCCCATGGGTGCTCAACTTCAGATGTGCTTACACCCCAAGTACCTTTGATCGAAATTTTTTGGTAGCAGTCCCCAGTTAACCTGCACATGCACTCTACACATCCTTGCGCCCTGCACCGCTACATAGGCCTGTGCGGTCAAACTGCCCTCAGTTCCTTCTCCACCGCAAAGTCCCCAAAGGAAACTGTGAAGCAGAGGGTAAGGAAGGACTGTAATAGAGCGTTCATGGGAACACACATCACAAAGAATCCCAGTTTACTCACCCTGTGCAGTAACCTCTCATTTGAGTAGTG